GTCTGTATTGTATTTCGTCTAATACGGAACCGTTATTTCCTTACGTACTAATTAACAATACTATATATGAAGATTAAATATCAAGTCATATACACAATAAACCAAGACTTACTTCACAAAATAAAACTCTTGAATAATTTTCATATGCATGGACGATGATAATTCGTGCATCTGTTTCCTGTACAAGACCACACATATCTGATTAGGTTAGTCAACATTATGTTAAAGATTTGATTTAATCTTGATTGTTTTTTCGAAGTAACATTACATCGCATTAATATGCAACTTATAATTATTGTGTAACATACGATTCATAGACTAGACCTTTAATAATGTTGTATACAAGAACGAGAAATGGGTAATATAGTAGAGTATCTTAAACAACCTTTATAATTGTGTCATTGTAATCAAATGTGATGTCAAAAGGAAACCCTGTAACTAATATAATTCTGAACCTATATACTCACCTGTATAATTTTAAGAACTGAAAATGGGTCATTACTCAGTGCAAGCGATGCTAATAATTTAATACCGTTGATTTGCATTCTTCTAATCATGTCATGAATGACCTTATAAAGAGAGAATTTGTAGGTTTTAAATATCATAACTTTAGAACATTGCGAGAGCGCAAGCCTCCTCCGCAGCTGCAAAATATTATACGCCCAACCTTGTAACGTTGATAAAAAAATATTTGACTTTTAAATACAATTTTATTCTCTCAACGAAAGTGAACATGACTCAAAATGAACATTGTTAAAAATGCTTCCTAAATATTGCATGAGCAATTTGCACATGACCTGCACATATTGAATTCATTATTAATGGGTAATAAATGACACAATTGTTATTTCCATGCCAACTAGATCCACATCTCAGGTAAGTGTGATGGGCAACCTTTATAAACTAAGAATATTTTCGAGTTATAAATACATCTCTGCTAAATTCCATTTATTTTGCTCTTATCCCAAAAGCGATCCCTGGTGAAAATGTCAGGTGTAGTAACTGACTGCTGTTTCAAAGCTGATGTTGAAAATCGTGATTCAAATTAATCATTGAATAACTTCAGAAAATGTTGACCTTACCATAACGAAGTACATATCGTCTTGATATAAAGTAGCCGCTCTCTTCCATCCGTAATATTTCATGATCGCTATGCGACCAATATTTTGATCAACATCAGATGATTTTGTGCGAAAAAACAATGGGTAATTCAATTTGTTTGATAGTTGAGGAGTTGAAGATGCGTATGACACCTAGTTTTGACAACAAATATAACAACCAGACTGTTAAAATATGATTTTAAGATATACATGATTAGAGAAAAACATCACATGTAAAGCATTCCTTCAGTTTTATGTAGAACTTTGATGCAAATATATTCTTGATTGCACACCTATGTATATGCAATGCTAACTTGTTATAGTGTGAGATGGTTCAAAAATAGATTGTTTTTGCTCACGACTGACGTCACTGGTTTACATTTTATCGATTCCAATACATAGTTTCTTAAATTAAATATGCGTTTAAAATATATTTCAGATACTTTCTGAGGTAATTTAATTTATATATTGATTATAATAAAATTTTGTAAAATACAACATTTGCTGATTTATAGTTTTCATTGTCAACATTAGTGTTTCTATTTAACAATATAGTGATAAATGTAGGAAGTTTTCTCACCTGAATCACATTAAATAGATGCGAGAATGCAGCAACAGGGGCTGTGGATACGGAACATCCTCCTCCGATAGCCATTATTTTCTGTGGCCCTTCAAACACTTGTTTACTGAAGTGGTAACTTGCCAATCCAGGGTCACACTAAATAAATCGAAGATAGCTTTCTTTTTGAAATCGTATGGTATGCAAAAATGAGTTTTACTGTAATTAATCCAATTTCATGAATATGTATTCGTAGTAGGGGCATATTTGCATGTTGGTGTTTGTCGTCATGTGAGCAGAGATGTACGTCAAATGATCGCAGTAGATGTTATATGAACTCAAACATGGCGTTGTTAGCAAATCATTATACAGAGACCATTGAATCAT